CCCCTTCCCTCAGTTGGCTACGTGCTCTGCATGTGCTGATGTATCTTGCTACTCAGAGCTGTTTTGGAGGCTAAAATCACCTAAGCTGCTCAGGTGTAAAACAATTTGTCCTGCGTGCAAGCGTGCAGCCAACCACTAGATTCAGTGGCAGTGATCTGTCTTGGAAATAATGCATCCCTCTCCTTAATGACGCGCCGTGAGTTCCTTTGATTACTCACTGCTGCTAGAGGTTTATGAAGTTTGGGGCAAGTCCATGTCTTTTCCTGACTGAATGATGTTGCTTCACTTTCCTCTCTTGGTCAAACCTGCTCCCAGCAGCAAGTGAGAATCCTTCTGCAAAGTTTTCTTTCTCTGTTGGAGACATCAATGTCTGCATGCCTTGTGCCCTTACGGGGACTCCTCTAGTGTGACCATGAGGCTGATTCCCACTTCTGCACAGCTAGGGGCTCAGGCAGCCCTTCCAAAGGGTCACTGAGGTGATTAAGGACTTGGATCATCTGTCATACAAGTACAGGCTGAGAGAGCTGGTCTTGGTTAGCCTGTGAAAGGGAAGGCTGAGAGGGCATCTGATGCTTTTCTCTAAATGTATGGGGCAGGAGAATGTACAGGTGGATTAAAGGATAGAGAACCATCCTCTTGCTTTCAGGTAGAAAATCTAGTTCTAAGAGGCTCCTTGTGTTTCCCTTGGTCCACAGACCATAAGCTGTAAGAAAAATTAAGTTGTTTCAATTCTTAGTTACCAGGAACTACTATTACACCCAATTCCAGTAAACTTCAGGTTGTCTCTGCAATGCTGGAGCCTGGACAAGCTAGGTCAGCAGCCCTGCAGGTTGGCTGGGGTAATGATCTCCAAGACATGAAGTCTTGATTGTTCAAGAGAGTATTTCAAACCAAGTTACAGTGCTTAGCAGAGTCTGTTTTCAGAGAAGAGCGCTTTAGAGGAAATAACACTGTGGCACAGGCACAGGCATTGTACGTACCAACATCCCCTCTGAAAGGGAGGAATCCCCACACGTGATCTGCCAGCACTGGTGAGTTGGAAAAGGTGGAGGATAAAGAGCAAATTCACTCTAGTGTGACTTTGAGAAATTACAAAAAGGACAGGCCTCCTCGCACTGTATCCCCAAATATGCATATCTGGCCTTGTGAAGCATAATGCATGCTTTGGTTCCCACCAGGGCATTGTTGATCTTCATTTGTACCCTGCCACAGCAACATGCTTTTCTCGCTAGGTGCAAGCAGCAGCAGCAGGAGATCGAGCTCTAGGCCAGACCAGAAGTCCCTCTCCTCTGGCTCCTCTACCAGCATCACAGTGAGAAGCCCAGCCTGGAGCTACCTCAGCAGGAGAAATACACTCATCTCAGAAGGGTGTTCTCCAGGACCCCACACAGCTGACACTGTATCAGTATTTCTCACCAGCAACCTTATGTGGGATCCCTGGGAGAGAAACTGGAATAAAGAGAGAAACTGTCCAACAAAACCAGATGTATCATGGTAGACAGTGGAAGACCAGAGGTCAGTTGCTTTTCACCCAAGGTTACAGGAACACCAGGCTGCCTCTGTGCTGCTCTAATCACAGCAGTCTGTGGTAGCACAGTGGAGTTTACAAGATGAGGGGGTTGGAGGCACGGAGGTGTTTGCAGGAGTCTGGAGAGCAGCAGAGGAGGGTTCTGTGCCTTTGAGCATGGCTGGTACAGCAATCAGCAGCGTTGCCTGTGAAGCAGCTGCTCTGTGCTTGCTTGTTTCCTTCCTGGTGGGGAAGCTGAGCAAGCAGCTCTGGAAAAGCAAGGCACCTTGAACACCATCAGAAGCAAAATTCTAGGTGTGTTGGCCAGGAATCAAACCTGGGTCAACTGCTTGGAAGGCAGCTATGCTCACCACTATACCACCAGCTCTCTCTGTCTAGGGCTTTTCTCTATCTCCTCTGAGTCACAGACCTGTCTCCCTCCTTCCCTCCTGCTTCTCAATGGACTGGCCAGCTTCCTCCTTCCAGCCCCCTGCACATACACTTCCTCAAGCTGCTAAAAGTTGGTGTGTTTCTGCATATGTGAGGTGCTGGCTGGGGAATCAGCTACGCTAGCCACAGACTTGTGGAGATCAGCATCAAAGACTATCCAGGGTTGGACCATAACACCAGGCAACCTGGGACGGAGTTCCAGACATGGACTCTGTCTCAAACTATGGTATAGTGTAGTGGTTTAAACCCAGCTGGCAACTGAGTACGACACAGCTGCTTGCTCACACCTCCCCACCCAGCCTGGGCAGGATGGGGAGGAGAATTGAAAAAAATGTAAAACCTGCGAATTGAGATAAGAACAGTTTAATAGCTAAAATAAAGTACGATATAATACCAATACTAATAACAGTAATAAGGGAAATAACAAGGGGAGAGAATATAAAACAAAAAGGGGGGAAATATAAAACAATAAACCCAAGTGATGCACAATACACTGACACAAGCAGTCATGGGTCCCTTCCAGGTAGCTTCCCCCAGTTTATATACTGAGTGGGATGTTCTATGGTATGGAATACCCCTTCTATGGTCACTCTTTTCCCTATCTTCAGTGGGATGGCAGGCATAGAAAATAGGATGAGAAAGCTTCCAGGTCAAGATAAACACAGGACCACGGAAAACACTATTGTGGGCAAAACAGACTCAGCATGGGGTGAATTAGCTTTTTGCCAAATGAAATAGATTCACATAGCAAGAAACAAAAGGACAAACAGAAAACACCGGCCTTCCTCCCACTTTCCCAGGCTGAACTTCACTCCAGACTCCTCTAACCAAGTGGCACAGGGGGGATGAATTTTCCTTCTGCTCTCTCTGAACCTCTCGCTTTCTCCTCTCTCTGTCTCACATGTTCTACCCTTTCTGGAATATGTTTTCACAGGGAGGTTACAAATTCTGCTGTGTCCTGAAATTGATCTACTGTGAAGATAGAACCACCTGTGTACGGTGCAGGGCAGCCCCTTGGCTCCTCTCACAGAGACCGCCCTGGAGCACCTCCTTTGCCCTAGCCTAGCCACATATAGCCAATACAATGCCCTTTGGGAATGGCTCCTTGGCCCTGCTCCTCGCTGAACACACTACTGGCCATGGCAGAAAACAGACTAGGACAGAGAAAGCCCCCAGGTGGTTGAGCCAACGACCTTGGTGCTCCCCAGACTAGCACCAGGCTCGTCCTGCTCCGCCCCTGGAGCCTGGGTGTCCCTGCTCGTGGCTGGGAAGTTGGGATTGAGCTGCCTGATGGGAAGGCAGAAACACCAATGTCCCCAGGACACCCACTGCCTTGTGGGGGGAAGGAGCTGAGGGAGAGCCAGGGCCACGGGTACGCAGAGAGCGGGAGCGCAGCAGTGTGCAGACACTTGCTGAAGACTGCAAGGCACCACTGCATCGTGGTGGTGGTATCCCCTGCCTCTGGAGGGAGAAAGAAAAAAAAAAGAAAAAAAGAAAAAAAAACAATTAGCAGAGGATGGTTTCGATCCATCGACCTCTGGGTTATGGGCCCAGCACGCTTCCGCTGCGCCACTCTGCTCCACCCACACCCTCCACCCGGACCTTCCCCAGCCCAGTCTGATGCTCCGCAGCACTGCCAGCACCTGCGCTTTTTCTCACACCTCTTTCCCTTCCTCCTACCTGTGCTCTCCACATAACTGTCCTTTTCCCCGAGCAGTTTCAGCTCTCATTCACTTTGGTTGTACAAAACTTTTGACCTGGCTCGCCCCAAACTCTGTCAGGTGGATCGCTTTTGAACTGGGACTCTCTTCTTTTATTTGGTCCCCCTCTGGACCCTCTTCTGGGGCCAGTGTGGTTTGTCCTCCCACTTCTGAGATGTTTGGATCCCATTCTGAGGTCGCTTTCTTGTACCCTCCGGGATAATTTGCCCCCCCAGCCCCAGACTCGTTTAGTGCTCTCGGTACAATATAAGCGATCTGGCCTAAGTATATCTGATGTTATATTGGGTTTGCATGGCAAGGTTTTGATAACGGAGGGGCTACAGGTGTGGCTTCTGTGAGAAGCTGCTGTGGCTCCTACTACATATATGTATGTACTACTACAGAAAGAGCTACTGTAGCTACTGTGGCCTCTAGTGTGAGAGACTACATAGCCATCGAGTAACCATGTGATAGCTTAGATCATCCAGGAAAACTCCATGGTGCTGTCAGCTGTGCCTCAAATCCTGCAGTAGACACACATGTTTCTGTATTGGAAGCCAGAGACCACATGGGGCACCATGCGACATCTAAAAATGATGGAAAAAGCATTAAATCTGTGGATAACTCCCCTGATTTAGATCTGTGAATTTCTAAGTGCAGCGAACTACCTGAGACAATCAGTAGCTTTTCAGAGTCTTGCAATACAGTGTCCTTTTGACCTCTTTCATTAGAAATATGAGAGGTGGAGTAACGACATCCTGCGTCTTCCTGCATCTTCTCCTTGGTTTTGTCACTTTCCCCTGGGAAAGGGTTGTCT